CGGCGAGATCACATTAGCCTTTTTTCCAGGCAAGTAAAAAACGGCATTGAGCCTAGAGTTGAGCGGTACCGAGTCGAATATTAGGACCTGAATTCCCCCTTGAACACCTATCATGAGTAGGAGGACCAAGATGAAGTTAGGGTGTATTTACATTCAGAAAGACCCCCTGGTTTCCGCCTGAACGTGCAAGTTATATCCAAATTCTGAGGGTTCAGGAGGAAAACAGGAGGTGTATTAAACCTATTTATCGCCTGCACCCCCTAAAATGTTTTCCATTCCATCCCTCCTGGAGAGAATCTACAAACCCTTTCGAGGTATTTTTTATTTCTTTTTAATTATTAACATGAGAAGTACGGGTGAAAATTAAGGGTCATACTCAAGGGTCATATATAAGGGTCAAAAATAACGGTCAGAAACAACAGTCAAAAATAAGGGTGGGACTTTCAGTAATTTTCACCGCAAACAGAAATGAACAAAATAGTGAGCTACTCAATCATCCTGGCTATCAGGATTAATTCAGGGGATTTATGATTCCTTTTCATTCGACAGGAGGAGAAGGGGGAAAAAAGTATCAGTTGAGAAGGGTTTTTACGCCTTTAGGATGAGGCAGGATCATATAAAGAGTTATTCAGGATGTATAGGATGAAGAAAGAAGGAAAAAATATCTCAAGGAGGTAATAGGGGAGAATAAGGTCCAGATATTCGACTCGGGGTGGTACTCTAAATGGAAGTTGATATAAAAACTACGGACACTCAATATTTCCACGAATCAATTTAATGAGGAATAACAAAGATGTAATGAGCATTCTCTCTTTCATCGTCAGCAAATCAAACTTGTCGCACAAATCGATGAGGTCACACACCCCCTTTTGGGGTATATTTGGGGATGTTGCATTATTCATTAAAAACAAATAATTATTCACAGTTTTCACTATCAATTCACTGTTATATATCTCATCCAAAAAATCCTGTCGTCCCTCTCATTTACCCAAAAATTTTCCCATAAAGTTATCGCCCATCGTGACAGTGGGATAATAAAAATTAAAACAGAAAGGTAAAAATCAGCATTGTTAATACTCCTGACTCCAGTAATACGTTGGAAAAGGGGGGGGGGTGCGGTCTGGCTGACGATAAAAGCCAGGCAAAGAGGAAGGTTCATTACAACACTCATTGCTATTGTACCAGCGCAACGAAGAGAGAGAGAGAAAGGACGAGGGGAGAGAGACCGATTGAAATGAGTGTCAGAGCCACTGAGGAGTTTGCATTATATTGTAACTGCTCACTCTCGGGGTGGACCGAGTGTAGCGTGAATCCTAAAACGAATGCACTGGCCCGAAATGAACTAAGGTGGTGGACAGGGAGATATTCATAGTCATTATTTAAAGGGAAGACGAATATTTCACTCGCACTTGTCCCCACTCGGGTCGCAAGTGCGGTTTAACATTGTACGTTATAGCCGTCACGTTCGAGTTTTTTATTCGCTTTTCAAGCCAAGTGAATGGAAAAAAAAGTATTAAAAAATTGTGAGCGATGAGAATTCATGGAGAGGATTTTTTTTGAGATTACGGACTTTTCAAAAAACTGAGTGAGAAAAAAATTGAAATTTCAGAGATAGTTGACTGGTAATTGTCAGCGGAGTGACATTAAATTCCGGATTTAATACTTCATTTTAATAATTTAATTTAATAAATCCTTTCTCCAATGCAAAATTTTCAAATGAAGTTCTCAAAGAATAGGAAATTTCCCCTCTCAGTCAAGTCCATCAAGATAACTTTAATCTCCGCAATTATTTTTCCATGCCATAAACATTATATTCCACAAAAAAGTCACCACCGTAATCCCCTTACCAGTCGATAATAGTATTACTTTGCAAGTGGTTTAACTGTCACCAGTTACCGCAGCACTAAAGAAAGTCGTAAATTTACATAAACACCGGAAGTTGTATTCACAATTTTTCAGGCAACAATCTCCCGTGAAAGCGTTCCACTATAAACCACTGGTATTAATAAAACCTTCATTATAACCGTATGAGATAATGCAATAAGTGGAAACACTGGATGTCGAGTGCTTATAATTCTCATCGCAGATTCAATGGTTGACACAATCAGCGTAAAAGTTGAGTTGTGGAACAGAAGGCATCGTTGGTAGAGATGAATTAATACAACGTTGAAGTAAGCGTGCCCGATTCCTCAAGCCTATTGACGAGGCTCAGGCACTGGAAGTTGTGGGATTTAGATGGGCACACTGAGAGAAAAACAAATACGTTGTCAAACAAGTCTGGTTTGGGCCAACAAAATCGCTAGTTGAAAATTGCCAAAAAAGAATTTGTTTGGTTCGAATTTCGAAGTCTCAGACATGAATAAGCGTTCTACTTTCGACAGCAGCGAAATATTTAGCTCAAGAGGCGGATAATGACATTTCTTGCATGTACAGAGAATGCAATTTTTGTTAAACTACTAAATCTATTTTTGCGACAAAAATTTTTCATTCCGGCGCACTCCGAGGGGCTATTCACACTGATAGAACGGATTAGTTATTGTTAACGAATGGGATCTCTGAGACTTATTGTTGGTAGAAATGACGCGCTCGAAAATTCAAAAACAAAATTCGCGGTCTCATTAGGAGCAACTACGAAAGATTACACTGATTACAAATGATTACAGTGATTACAAATGATTACCACTTGATTACCAAAACTTGATTACAAATATGGTAATCATATGATTACAATGATTACATTAATTTCACTGGCATTACAATTGATTACATCAGCGAGTGGAACTACGATTACGCCTGTGAATAGCCCCTCACTCAAAACCCCCATTTTTCTGTATTCTGTTTTTCATAATTTTTTTGTATTCATATCGTTTCGTTCAGAAATAAGAAATGAAATCCCGCGTAGAAAAATTTTCTCTTTCAAAGATTGTCCAGAAATATTGGGAAGAATCTTTGAAAGATAATGTGGGAGATCTGCTTGGTGACCCAAAAAGATTCTTCAGAAAACAAAATTTTAAGGGTCAAAATTTTCAAAGTCCAAAATTCAGGGCTTAGTAATTTGAGCGTCAAAAAAGTAAGGATCAAAGGAGTAAGGATCGAAAATTAAAATTGTCTTTGGAAGATTTTGTCTTCTGAGGAATCTTTTTGGGTCACCAAGCAGATCTTCTACATAATCTTTCGAAGATTCTTCCCAAGATTTCTAGAAGACCTTCTAAAGAGAGAAATTTTTCTACACAGGATAACTTTAAAAAAACTCTTGCAATCAAGTAAATAAGTTGTTTGTTTAAAATAATGGAATCCTTTTCCCAGAAATAAATAAAAATTTTCAAATAAAAATTATTATTTGATTCAACCGCTCCATTTTTCTGTGTGTAGTATTCCCTCCACCGAAGCCGGCAAAACCCCCGAAAACAGATCAACAACTCCCTTTTAATGGACCACCCAGATAACGAGGGGTGACACATCGCCACACCTGCCCCGACCATAAATCTTTCGTCATTAAACCCGAGATTATGCAGGTTATTACCGCCCACCCGAGCCCTCTAATTCCATTTGCCCCGAAATATTATCCCTGAGAGAGCGTATTGATAATCGATGCACACCCGTCGATTTCGAAACTCTTCGTTGCACCCACTCACCACTAGATTTGATGAGCCCCTGGCCTAAATACAGTGCGACAGACGAAATGAAGAGCAAACATGCCCTCCAAGGCATCGCTTTTCACCTCATCATGCCTCATAATTCCAGATTTACATTCGTTAATGAATTTCCCCACCCCATTTGACCCGAAATTCTATCATCACGTTTGAGGGATTATTACGATTGCATACAGCAATTGAGTGGTTCGGGCTACCCTGAATATTGACCGTACGTATTCAGGTCGTTCTATATTGGATCTTCCGATAATCCAGACTCACGGAGAATTGAATGAATTGGACACAACTCGGATACACTGTACCGGAAGTGTATCTGTTTGCACGTATTACGTCATTTCTCTCCCAGCGTTGAGGGGAACACAAAGGATACGGTATACATCCTCTGGCGGAAGTAGTTGTTGCAAGTGGTGGCCACATCAAAGCAAGGAACGGGGGAATGAATTTTACAATGTTGACAATTGAAAAATATGTAGAAACCATACGTGTACTAATTGCAGGAGCAATTATTGAAGAAACAAATGGAGTTGCCGCAGAATGAATTATCAAAGTGAAGTCTTCGACCCAGAGAGAAGGCGGAATAACAGAACCACATATAAATTAGATTCAAAAAGGAGCGTAAAATGGACTCTGTGAAGGATCAAAGAGGCTGAATCTGCAGTCATTGAAGTGAATACTAAGCGAATTAATTCAACATCGTTGAGAAGTCTCAGTATATTTTCCATCTTCACCTTTAATTATTCGAGTGAGTTACTTCGGAATAAATGTACGAGATTCTGAATATATACATTTCATTCCTCATCGCTTGCTGTTGTGATTTGTCAGAGAATTTAACGTTGAATGAAGATAATTTGTAGATCTTAATAGTGGAATTGGAATTTAACAGCTGATGATGATGACCAAAGCAACCAAAGACGTCAACATATCCTCCATCATCTCTTCATGCTCTTCATGATCATGAACAAACGCTGGATGAAATTCCTTAACAATATAAGAAACTTTGACGGAGTGAGGCACGCGTCGAAAGTTGTCTTCACCCCAAAGAGATTTCTCACGAGTTTGATAATAAAATCCCATATAAATTATAAAAAAGCGTAGAATAATTTCTGTGAAGAATCAAAGAGGTTGAATTTGTAGTCATTGAACTGAACACTAAGCGAATTAATTCAACATCGTTGAGAAGTCTCAGTATATTTTCCATCTTCACCTTTAATTATTCGAGTGAGTCATTTCGGAATAAATGTACGCGATTCTGAGTACATTAATTTCACTCCTCAATCAACATCTTTCAAATAATACAATTGATTGAACAAATCTCTAAACCTTAATGATAGGATTTGAATTGAACAGCTAATGATGATGGCCAAAGCCACCAAAGTCGTGTCCTCCGTAGCCGAAGCCCCCAGCGTACCCTCCGTGATGCTCCTCATGGCCGTTGACAAACACAGGATACGATTCCTTGACAACATAGGGAACTTTCACCGGATATGGCACCTCTTTATGAACCGGATATAGCACCTTAACCGGAACTTCTACGGGGTACGGCACCTCATAGGGGACTTTGACTGGTACTTTGACAGGATAAGGGACCGGTTTTTCCACCGGCACAGGAACGTGCTTCTCCACTGGGACTGGATAGGGCGCGGGCACGTGGTAAGGCACAGGTCTGTCCACCGGAACTTTAACCGGAACAGCGTACGGCGCTGGAACACCGACTTCCCGATGAATGGTGATGGATGAGATACGTCCGCTGTCGCCGCCAAAACCACCGGCTGTCAGTGTATTCCCAAAACCACCCGCGTGACCGCCTAATCCATGTCCCCCGAAGTCACCAAAATCCGAGTGGTCGCCGAGCTCAAGTCCACGTTTTGTCTTTCCGTCATTGCTCTTTGTTGAGTCACCGGCTATCGCTGTGGCCAGACCCAGGAGGATCAACGTCTTGTGGATAGGAAAAATAAATCACTTCAACAACAATTTCAAGTGTATTCAGTTTTTTCTTGATAATTCCAGGGAATTTCGTTTCGATTGAAAAATCTCTGGGAAATTACGAAATTATAGTATGAATTTTCGTTTTTTCATCTTTAGGATGATTTTCTAAACGTTGAAATGAGTTTTTATTCGTCCAAATAGTGAATTGGACGAATAATGAGAAGAAAGAAAATGAGAATTGAAGCCTAAAAATCATCGAACACTCAAAATTTCAGAGATTCAATGAATTGACTATCTGTTACACTTTCTTATACAAAAACTTCTTGATCTATTCAAAAATCAGATGATATAGGGGCAGATCATCAATTTTAAATTGAATTGAATTTTGCATGCGTTAAGTGGTTAATATTACTCAACAATTTTTTAATTATTAAATTAATCATCAATTGAATATTCAAATTCCGAACTAACTTATCAATCAGTAATTGAGTTCGACGATTGAAGATTATTTGGCTGGTGGAAAAAATTCTTTCATGAAATTTAGAATTATTTACTCAATAGTCAATTCAAAATTTAAATTATCAATTATTTTGTGATTTTTCAAATTTCAATGAAGACAAGTAAACTTTATTATATTATTAATTATTGTAAGGTGCAACTTCTCATAATATTACAAAAATAATGATTGATACCGATCCCTGCCTAAGATCGAAATTACATCGATGAATTATTAATAAAGTCTTCCTTGACTTTAATGGAATGTTTAATAGAAAATTTCCTTTACAAAAAATTATGAAAATTCATGTCGAGAAATTTTTATAGAAAATATCAATAAAAAAGTTGTATTGATCTATGAAAATCTACAAAATAATTTTACTGGACGTTTTCTATTACAAAAGTTCGTAAAGTTNTTTCTATTAAAAAAGTTCGTAAAGTTTTTCTATTAAACTATATTGAACTGCATTAAACCATTCCTACTTCCCCCCCCCCCCCTCCTGAATATTCAAGATTCCGTAATTATTCAACAGTGCGTAACAATATGCGCTCAATGTTAACAAGTGTAAATTTATTCTTTCGCCACACCGATAATTACATAAACCCTCTAATCACCGCATCTAATAATTCCATCGAAACGCATATTTCGCCTGAATTTTACGATGTTCTTACGTACACGAAGACAATTATCGCGGGGAAAACACCTTTCATAGACATTATCATCAACAAACCACTCTCTCACCTTAATACGCAACATAGTTTGATGCTCCGTAGTTTCTGGATTACTGAATCAGCATTGTGCCAATCACCGGAATATATACGGTGGACTTTCGCTGGTGCACTATATCCCCCCGGAAAATCCTTCGACGAGTTTAAAGACCAAGAGGAAGTGCACAGGGTGTTCACCCAGGCAGTTGTAAACAGTACTCTCTTATATTTTCCCACGCGAAAAACGATACCCTGTCCATCGTTTCTCGGTTTTCTTTCGGTTTCCGGACAGATCGATTGCTCAAGTGGTTTTTTTCAAGTTTTCGAAATTCAAGTAATTGTAGATTGACACGAGTACTCGATGGATAATACGGGGAAAGGTCAGACAATCAATTGCATGGAGAAAGAAAGTTTATGGAACTCAATGGAATTAAAAAAAATCCTGATCCAATATTAAATTTTCTTCTTTTGTAATAAGGATGTCCAAGTATCTTTTACAGTTTGTCAAAATTGTCCATTAAAATGTGTGAGAATTTTTTTTAATATTCCTTGTTTATAAATAAATTATTGCAATTGTTTAAACTTTTGAAAACCCTTTTTTCAGACGTGAAACTGATTTCTGGAACAATTCTTGATATGAATAATTTAATTGAAAATAATTGATTAGAGTTGGAATTCAAAATTAATTGTGTATAAATTATTTATAGAAAATGCTGGTCATTTTCAAAAATTGCAATTTTTCAATTATTTCATCAATCTTTCTCTAAAAATAAACTTTTTAATTTTTCTCAGATTTTTAACTTTTTTAACGGTTCAATATCGAGATTCAAATTCACTGCAAAGTTTAAATAATAAAATCATTGTAAAATCCTGTAATATTCCATTTTCCACTTCCGTATCAATTTTAAAATTTCATATTTTAAAAAATCATTAAAATAAATGTAACGTTTTTCCATCGCGTGTTACGAATTTTCGTCACAAGATATAATGTTCTTTATCGCACTTGACATTCGTGACCTTCCAACCTCTAACGTTTTTGCACCACGTGTGACATTTTTGCGTCACGTGTAACGTTTCACAGTCACGAGTTACATTTTCGCGTCACACTTGACCCTGTGACCTTGAAAACACCGAAAACCAGGGAAAATCATGGCCCCGTGATCTTTTCTCTAAAAATGAAGTGAAACTGAATAATTTTTTTAGAACAATTTTTTAAATTAAATATTCTTGGGGTCAATAATGTTTTATCTATACATGTAAATACCTTCCAATTCATGAGAGTCCGTGAATTAATGGGCGATGGTTTAGTCGAGATGGCCCGTTGAACTATGAGACTTTCTCCCGTCGCAGACACGGCTCTGTGCATCGCAACTGACCGATTCCTGCTGGGTGGTTAATTAAAAAAAAAAGATGGATTGATGTGATGTGCAGATAATTATCATTGCATCGATTGCGTAACGTTCAGCTAGCACGATGTTACGTCGAATTGTCATCGATTAGGCATTTTTGTGAATTATGAAAGGTGATATGACGAATATTTGCGAAGTTATTGTCGAAATACCGAGCGCGGGATGCATCCCACCGTAAATTTATTCATGAGAATATTCTGGACAGCACTCGAGACCTTTCCCACTATTGCGTAAGACCACATGCATTTGTGGCTAGTGGAGCAGAAATGCAAGCCCCACGGAAAACACTGCACTCTATTACTCTTCCTAAACCTGACAAGCGATGGATATTCAGTGTGAACGGAGGAAAAAGGAGAATGAGAATCAAGTGGAAATGCAGCGAGGAGAGAGGCACATGCGGTAGCTTTACTATTGTTGTTAATGCCACTGAAAATCGGGGGAATTCAAAGTGAAAACCAAGATTTTGTCATCCATTTGATAAAAATAAAGGATGATTACAGGTTAATAAATCCATTTTCTTCACCGTTTAAACAATGATTTTATTTACAAGTAATAGAGCTTATATTTCGAACAAACAAACATTTGTTCATAAAATAAAAATGCGATGGTCAAATCAAACTTTTTATTTAAAATTTTAAAAAAGTCTAATTATATGAGATGAATAATTCATTCATTCCAAGTGAATCCTCTGTTAGAATCGGATAAAGGATTCATTTGACTTGAATAAAGGATTATTATAGGATTGATGGATATTCAGTGTAGGACGGAGGAAAAAGGAGATTGCGAATCAGTTGGAATTGCAGGGAGGAGAGAGACACATATGGTAGCTTTAATACAGTTGTCAATGCCACTGAAAATCGAAGGAATTCAAAGTGAAAATTGCGATTTTTTCATCCATTTGATACAAATAAAGGATTATTACATGTTAATAAATCCCTTTTCTTCACCGTTTAAACAAAGATTTTATTTCCGAGAAATAGTTTTTATTTCGATCAAACAAACATTTATAAAATGAAAACGCGACGTCCAAATAAAAATTTTTATGTAAAATTTTTCTACTCATTTTTTTTGATAATTAATGCACTCATATATTCGCTGCAATGGAAAACATCTAATTATATGAGATGAATAATTCATTCATTCCAAGTAAATCCTCTGTTAGAATCAGATAAAGGATTCATTTGACTTCAATAAAGGATTATTACGTATTAATAAATTGGTTCTCTTCACCGTCTATACCATTGATGGATATTCAGGGTAAAACGGAGGCAAAAGGAGATTGAGAATCAAGTGGAAATGCTGAGAGGAGAGAGACACATATGGTAGCTTTAATACAGTTATTAATGCCACTGAAAATCGGGGGAATTCAAAGTGAAAACCACGATTTTTTCATCCATTTGATACAAATAAAGGATTATTACATGTTAATAAATCCATTTTCTACACCGTTTAAACAACAATTTTATTTCCAAGTAACAGAGCTTTTATTTCGATCAAACAAACATTTATAAAATAAAAACGCGATGTCCAAATAAAATTTTTTATGTAAAATTTTTCTACTCATTTTTTTTGATAATTAATGCACTCATATATTCGCTGCAATGGAAAACATCTAATTATATGAGATGAATAATTCATTCATTCCAAGTAAATCCTCTGTTAGAATCAGATAAAGGATTCATTTGACTTCAATAAAGGATTATTACGTATTAATAAATTGGTTCTCTTCACCGTCTATACCATTGATGGCTATTCAGGGTAAAACGGAGGAAAAAGGAGATTGGGAATCAAGTGGAAATGCTGAGAGGAGAGAGACACATGTGGTAGCTTTAATACAGTTATTAATGCCACTGAAAATCGGGGGAATTCAAAGTGAAAACCACGATTTTTTCATCCATTTGATACAAATAAAGAATTATTACATGTTAATAAATCCATTTTCTACACCGTTCAAACAACAATTTTATTTCCAAGTAACAGAGCTTTTATTTCCATCAAACAAACATTTGTTTATAAAATAAAAACGCGATGTCCAAATAAAACTTTTTATTAAAAATTTTTCTGATCATTTTTTGGATAATTAATAAATTCATACATTCATTACGATGAAAAAGTTTTAATTAGATTAAATAAATAGTAAAAGTAACAACAGAAACATTTGTTAATATTTTTTTTAAACGATTTATTTTCTGTAAATAAAAACTAAAATTAAAATCACATTTTATTTTCACCGGGTTGATTCCATTCAACTAAAACATTTCTCCGAATCCAGTTTTATTCAACCTTCTTCCTCTCAATTCCACTCGATCACCCCTAAAAAGACTGCGAAGAATCTGAACTTTACCAAAACGTCAAGAACGAGCATATTTCTGGTAAAATTCTGAATATGAATAAATTAAACGTTTATAAATTATTTATAGACCATACTCGTAATTTTCCGAAATTATAAGTTTTCAATTATTTCATTAATCTTTCTCTAGAAATAAAATTTCTAATTTTTTTCAGATTTTTCAAACTTTTTCTAACGGTTCAATATCGAGATTTCCGGGAGTTTTGGGTCAAGGGAAAGCCCTGGGAAACGCATTTCACTGGAGAAAAAAAGCCAAAGTCGTTGGATATTCTTAAAAAAATGCTGATCCAATATTAAATTTTCCTCTTTCGTTTCAATTGTAAAATTTCATATAAAAAAATTCCGTTAAAATAAATGTAACGTTTTTCCGTCAAGCAAAAGAGCTTTTATTTCGATCAAACAAACATTTGTTTATATTTTTTTTAAACAATTTATTTTGTGTAAATAAAAACTAAAATTAAAATCGCATATTTTCACCAATTTGATTCAATTCAACTAAAACATTTCTCCGCATCCGGTTTTATTCAACCTTCTTCGTCTCAATTCCACTCGATCACCCCTAAAAACACTGCGAAGGATCCGAACTTTATCAAAACGTCAAGAACGAGCATATTTTTTCGTAGCCCCTGATTTATCGAATGAATAATAATAGACGGATAATTCGCTGGGAATGATAATGGTGGTGTGAGAGGGCGTGGAATTGTACGTGGCACCCGTGAACTTGCGCACCATTGATTTACCCCCGTGAACTCTATTTCAAAGCCATACATAAAGGTATGTTTGGAGGGTGGGGAGGGGGTGGCGAGGGCGAGGGATGCATGCACTCAATGAATGGGCATTTTGAATGCACTGGTTTTCAGCCCCAACGACAAATTCGAGTCACGCACACCTAGGTAATTACTGGTGGTACTCGTGAGAATGCAGCTTTGTGGAATTTATGCGAGATGTTAACCTATCCCTGGAGGATAGATTTTATCTCGGTATTATTCCATTTGCCATTAATTCGGATATTTGCTGGTCAACAGAGAAATTGTTATCGATTTTTAGGAGAATTTTTAAAACGTTTGCATCCCTACATTTAAGATATTTTTAGTGTCTCGAATTGAGACATTAAGGCATGCATTCTGGACATTCTACACTGAGAAAAAATTAGCTCCGCGGAAAAGTTATGTTCCACGTGAGGACATTTGATGGAGTGGAACAGATTTATTGAGGGAAATTGACCGATTTGACAGAAGAAAATTCAAGTTCTTTGACAAAAATTAATTTTTTTGTTGTAATCAGTAGAAATCGCATGTGATCTGAAAGAACTCCATAGGTTTATACCATGGAAAAAATACATTAACAAGGAAAGAATACTTTTTTCCTAAAAAAAATTGTCCCTCGAAATAATTTAGCTTTGCCAATAACACATTTTTGGACAGGAAAATTGTAGTTTCCTCTTCAAATTATCATGTGTTGGTAAAAATTCGGATATTTGCTGGTCAACAGAGAAATTGTTATCGATTTTTAGGAGAATTTTTAAAATGTTTGCCCATCCCCACATTTAAGAAATTTTTAGTGTTTCGAATTGAGACATTAAGGCATGCATTCTGGACATTCTACACTGAGAAAAAATTAGCTCCGCTGAAAAGTTATGTTCCACGTGAGGACATTTGATGGAGTGGAACAGATTTATTGAGGGAAATTGACCGATTTGACAAGAAAATTCAAGTTCTTTGACAAAAATTAATTTTTTTGTTGTAATCAGTAGAAATCGCATGTGATCTGAGAGAACTCCATAGGTTTATACCATAGAAAAAATACATCAAGGATGGTCAGTCATTTTCAGCAAATCTTATTTTCTCATGTTCAAGGAAAATTCTATAATTTTTTTGGCTGACAGCAGAACATATGTCTCACTTATTTTCCCAAATACATCATTTATTTTTTCAATTCCACCCATAATTTTACTTACTTAAATTTTGCTCGTGCCTTAAATTCACCTAAATTGCCTTAAGAATTAAAAATTGTCTATACTACAGCAATACTTCCCGCCGCCGCCAAAATGGTATTGAAGAAACATAAAATTGCCCCCGAATCCAATTGAATTATATTCCCCAGATTACCGCGAGACCCCAGTGGCTTTGGTTAAAAAGTTATCGTTTTCGACTTAATCCAGAGCGAGGATAGTTATTGGATTGAGAGCATTGACCACGTAAAACTCCATAACTCTCAAAGACCCTCGTAAAATCCCCCTAATAATTCATTCGTATAATTGCAGAATAACTCGAACTAGCTCGTTCGAAAGGTATTTATCCCGAGAACAACGAGAAACTGTACTTTAATGGATTCTCATATCAAAATGAATCCCATAATGCCGTATAATGAGTGAGAGAAGGACCTCAACGAGCATTTCGTAAAAACAAAAGCGCCGGACAAAGGATTGCGCGAGGACCGAGGGAGGAACCTGAAACATTGAGAAACCCAAAAGACTGGAAACAATCCCAGGGAGTCAAGAGTGTCAGGGATAGAGAGCAACAAAATCCGTTGAAACGAATGAAAAAAAAATGCCAGCAGTTACCTAGAATCGTATACGCAACATAAACGGAAAAATAGTAATAATCACGACGAGACAGGACAAAGGCGCCGGTGAAAACCCGCCGAAACATGCACACACCCACACAAATGAACAATTCCTTTCCTCTCGTATATCAACTTCCTCTGACGCCCGCCTTTCTTGCAATTTTTCTACCATCACGGCTGGTTTCGTCGTTTGACGGGACTGAATGTTAAGACAGCCACGTACGTATAAAAGCGGGGGTAGCCACCAGAGAATCAGTGTGCTCACAGTCTTTCAACATGGACAGCACTGGAAAATTGAAAGTGAGTAAGGAACGTATGTTAAAAGACTTTTTTCGCTCCCCGAACTTTCCTTCACAATCCTTTTCCCTCGATATCTCCGAAACTAATTGGCATATCAAAAAAACTGTTATGACCTTTTTTGTAGAGCGGAGTGAGCACTATAGAAAATGTTTTGACACAAATTCTGCTATCTCCCCTCGGTTCCGAGATATTCATAAAAAAGTGGAGGAAATCATGAAAGTGAACTTAAATCGTTGTTTTTTGAATAAATGCTTTGAATTCTCATCAGATCCTCTTCCTCTGCGGTTTACTGGCGGTAGCTGTCGCTGAGGACTCGAAAAAATCCGAGGACAAGCAGTCAACAAGCCCGGAGAAACCAAAGCGTGGCCTGGAGTTGAGTCTCGGTGATCATGGGTTCGGTGGATTCGGTGGTCATGATTTTGGTGGTAGTTTCGGTGGTGGTTTTGGTGGTGACCACGGTCACGTTGAGCACGTCAAGGCAGTGACAATCACAAAGCACGTGCCAGTACCCTACCCCGTCAAAGTTCCCGTAAAGGTGCCAGTCGATCGTCCATATCCCGTTCATGTGCCCGCACCATACCCCGTGACGGTGGAAAAAGCCGTGCCCTACCCGGTGGAGAAGCCAGTTCCCTACCCAGTTAAAGTGCCCGTTAAGGTGCCTGTGAAGGTGCCGTACCCTGTGGAGGTGCCCGTCAAAGTCCCCTACCCCGTCCACAAACCGGTGCCGTATCCAGTCAAGGTACCAGTGGTCGTCAAGGAGCCGTACCCAGTCCTGGTTAAGGAGCATCATCATGGAGGCGATTTCGGAGGATTCGGGGGCTTCGGAGGTCATGAGTTCGGCGGCTTCGGCCACCACTAGACTAATTATCAACTTGTAAATTATAACGAAAATGTATTAATTCGATCTCTGCGCAGTCGGGTCGAAGAGGATCTCTGTGAGTCTCTCGTTCAAGAAATCTACGATGAATTCATGTTTAATTGAAAATTGTTGTTTCAACCTGTAGTTACCAATAAATAAAGAAAGGATTTCTCCATGCGATTCTCCTTTGCGACATTAAAGAATTTGTGACAATTTTTACGCAATAGTTCACACTGTAGTTCCTTAATTGCTTGGAATGGACGAGGCGATAGCCCCCAATAATCAAAGAGACATACCTACACTGAGAAAAAAAATAATTTAGCCAAATATTCATTTACTTGAAAAAAGCGTTTATTTTTTCAAAATCGTATTTCTCCAATCGAGTCATTCCCAGGCGAGCCTGATTAGGTTTTAATTATAACAATCATGTTGCTCTAGAGGATGACTACGTTACGTATGACCTTGGATGAACTCCTCTAATGATTATTCATTTTTCCTAAATTTCTTATTTTCTAGAGGGAAGAATTTCGATCAATCTTTTAATGTTGATAATTATTGAAGGAGTTCACTCAATGTCATAACTAACATGAACATCTTCTAGAACAATATAATTGATATAATCGAAACCTAATGAGGATTGCCTGAGAATGACTCGAGCGGAGCAATACGGTATTGAAAAAATAAATACTTCTCTCAAGTAAATGGATATTTTGCAACAATAATTTTTAACAATTTTTACGCAATAGTTCGCAACTGTACGTCCTAACTAGCTTGGATGGAGGCGGCTATTAAAGTGATGTAGCCAGTTCGCTACCCAGTCAAAGTGACAGTAGTTATCGAGGAGAAGAAACTAGTCGTGATTAAGAAGCATCATCATGAAGTTGATTTCGGAGGATTACTAGCTTTCACCACTAGACTTATTATCGACTTATAAATTACGACGGAAATGTATTAATTCGATCTCTGCACATAACTGTTAAAAAATTTTGTCTGAAATTTCCAGTACACTTTTTGGAAATTTTTATCAAATTCAATTACCACTGAAATTTCAAGAAATTTCGTCATGGAAAATCCAGAATTTCGTGGAAAAATCGAAGAGAACTGTAAATTTCAGTTCCATTTTTCCCTGAAAATAAATAGAAAACCAGAAAATTCCGGTAAATATATTCTTGAATTTTCAGGACAGTGACACTGACTGCGAATTAAGGGAAAAAATCATGAAATTTCAGGTTTCACTGAAAATTTTATGTAATTTGACACTGAATATTCCCATTAGATTAGAAATCCAAAGTAATTGAGGAATCCTCGTCTTTATGCTGCTTAAAATTCTGGAATCTTACTGAATTTTCAGTGAAACCTGAAATTTCATGATTTTTTCCCTTAATTCGCATTCAGTGTCACTGCCCTAAAATTTCATTTTTTTTCCAACAGTGCAGTCGGATCAAAGAGAGTCTCTGTGAGTCTCTCATTCCAGAAATCTCCGATGAGTTCATCTCTAATTAAAAATTATTGTTTCAATCTGCAATTACCAATGAATAAAGAGAAGGAAAATTTCTTCACGCGATTCTCCTTTGTGACATTAACAAATTTATGCCACTTTTTACGCAGTAGTTCACACAGTATTCCCCAACTATCTCGGAACAAAGGCAGGAGGTAATCGAACGGATCATCAAAGATTCGTTTAATGAAGGACGTTCGTCCCAAGAACTGCTCATTAAACACGAAATACCCGAGAAATTCCCCGCAGCCAACTCTACCCCGATTTTCCCACAATGCAACCTATTCTTTCATACGGATTCCTCATTTTTTTCCATCCACCATTTCCCGCTGTTGCCGTCACCCATTATTTATCGATGCAGTGTTGTTACACCTATTGGACCTCCCGCAAGTACCCAGTCTGTTACGAAAGACGTGGAAGCCGTTTCCGGGGCGAGAACGTAACGGTTTCCGTTCAATGGAAATTGAAAGTAGTTGAGTGACGAATAAATGATCGACAAAATCGACACAAACATACTTTCATGGAAAAGCCAGGAACTGTCTTCTACGACTTCCATCACGTAACCTTTAACGTTGAATGTTTATTATGCTCACAAAACGTATGAATAGTGGGAGAAATGCAAGTGAGTGATCTTATTTATTCCATTTCCAACGGAATTCGTCGCAAGTCAGCTTGCGACTGGCAATCGCCCGAGGGTTTTCCACTGGGTATTTACATTTTGTACAAAGTGCTGTGGTTTGAGATGAAAAGAAAAATTCAATTAACTTGCAGAAACATACAGCGTGAATATGAAAATGATTCAGTTGATTTTTTTCAATTTTCCTTTGACACTAAAAAAATTAGTTTCTGAAATGAAGACACTTTTGTACGCTTTTTGCTCCCGGATGGAAGCTTTGGAATCGTTCACATTGAAGTTTGTGATTTTTGGTGTTATATAGACCTAGTATGATCCAAGAAGGTCGAAAATGCAGTTTTTAGACCTCCTGTGTACGTTTTCAAGAAAGTTTTTCTTCAATTCAGTAGCGAAGTGGTAAAACGATATAAGTCAATTTTGACTATTGACTAGTTTTCAATGAATATCTCGGAATCTTCGGGAGATAGCAAAATTTTTATTATAACCTTTTTTGTAGACCCGATTGAGAGCTACAACAAATGTTATTACGAAAATTTCCCTATCTCCCTTAGATTCGGAAATATTCCTCAAATACTCAACTGGGAGATAAGTCGACTTAAACAGTTTTACCACTACGCTACTGAATTGTTCACTGGTGAATGGATGGAATTAAATCTTTTTTTTTTCAAATGTAGATATTATTGAGCCCTATCGATCGCCATTAATTAAAATTTAATTCATCAATTAGTTTTTTAATTTCCAAATTTTTTAGAAAATCAGTTGTCCCACGATAACTAAAAAAAATGTTCTGAATTGATTGATTGATGGCTTTAAAAATTTATTTGAATATCCTTTTAACAGAGTTCGAAGATGAAGGCGATAGCAATAATCGTTATTTTGATTTATTTGAAAATTTGCAAAAATTTTGTATTTTTTGAAAATCAGAATTCCGGGGATATCTTTGAATTTCATGCTTCAAATGAATTCAATCACAGCGTAAAATGTTTGTTTCAATGCCATTAAGTCGAAGTTAAAAGATGATTACGATAGTTATATTGGTTGATTTGATTTTATGACGATTGTTGAAAATTTCGAAATTTTCATAAATTTCCCTGAAAGTGAGCTTTCTGATATTTTCTTCAAATGTACATCACATTCAATTCATTCAAGTATGTGTAAATAAAATTTTTCCATTAACATTTTATCAAAGGGCTGAGGGGAGAGATAGAACCGTAAAAAAAAACAATCGGTTGTATAGAAGAAAGAGATAATAAGAATAATGATGATAATAACATTCAACTAAGTTGAAAATCTGACAAAATTAGTTAAAAATAAATCTCATTCAATTTAATAAAATGGAATAAACAATGAAATATACATGATAGCAGGAAATGGCATGCAAAATAACCATTTGGAAGCATATTGCTAATTTATTACCAAAAGTAATTATACTGTAACTATAATTGCAATACAAGAGCAATTTCCCACTTGTTTTTAATTCTTTAGTGTCTCAAATTAAGACATTAAGATATTCTGAATGTCCGAAGGATCGTTTGCCGTCGAGAACGACTGAATAGTCTTCAAGTGTTTCGAATTGTCTTAAATTTGATGACTTGTATGTCAAACATTCAAAAATTTCCGAAAGATGTTGTTATTATCCAACCGCTGAAATAACACATTTGACCCAGTTTCCAATGCCTTCCGAGTCGCCTCATCCACCTGCAAACGACGAATGTATCAAGGGCAATTAAACCACTCACAAAAAAAAAATCAAAATTACAATTCCCGAAGATAAACGTGAAACTGTTGCTTTCCCATGCAATTATTCAACACAAGGTGTAATCACGTTTAATGATCTAGGAAGCTAACGCAAGAGGTGAATAGTTTTTCTCCGGATTAATCCTGAGGCTCGGACTGTACAGGATAATAAGCGTCTAGACATCTCTCAGATTCTGGTATCTATGAATGAGTCGATTCGCACACATTCGCTCCTTTCCATCCACTTTCCACCGCTGGACTTCTTATCGCCCCAGGTTTCCATTCCGGTGGTTTTGACGTGCGTTAATAAGTAAATGAGTGCATATATCACCCGGGAAGCAGATGGATTGCTGAGATTAGATAAAGACTAAGCGTTTTTGGTATTCAAAACAAGAGAAATTATGGAATCAGTTGAACTCGACGAGTCAGGCATTTCGTATTGTCGAAATATATTGAAATTCTATGGTTGGGGTTCAAGTGACTCGTTAGTGAATCACATATTACACCGCCACAATTTGTATACTGTCTCAGATGTAATTAATTGCATTGCCTCGTGTCTGGAATCGTAAACACAAACTCCTAGACCGGTGGAATACAGCACTGCATCCACCATCTGAAGTTCTACCACACAGTAGTGAACTTGTTACTCATTCTGTGTCCCCGTTAATTGAATCGTAGATCCTGGCAATGCGATTGGATTGGATCAAACACACAATTTCATTATACGTTTATTTGAGTTAAATTGCGGGGGTGAAACCCAATCGACGCTTGCTAATAAATATCTCATTATTAGTCGAGGTATTAGCAGCTGTTCGTCTGGAAATTGACTGCATTTGACTGATTGGTATCTTTGGATTGAGGTTTTTCATCAATCGGTTTGAAGTATGCTGGGGAGTATTGGTGTATTGCAGCTGTCGGTGGTACTGTTTCTCATGCATGCTGCTACCACTGACGTTTTAAGTACGCAATGGATTTATTGTAGACTTTTGACATTTTAGGGCTGAATTTCGACATTGAAAATTCAAGGTTCTACGGAAAAATCAGGGGAAACTGGAAATTTTGACTCAATTATTCCATGAAAATTGATAGAAATGAGAAGGATTCGAGTAAATATACTCCTCAATTTTAAATTAATTGACGATCCAGAGTAATTTGATATTTAATATTCACGTTTCGATTGAAAAATTTGAAATTTGCGTTAATAAGAATTTTAAGATTGTTTCCTTTTAGGGATATCCAAGTACTTTGGCTGTGATTTTAT